GTGGGGGGGTGGGGGGGGGCGAGGGAGATGGGGGCGAGTGGGGTGGTGGCGAGGGGAGTGAGGGCGGGGAGGATGAGAGATCGGTGGGGGGGGGGGTTGTGGGATGGGCCATAGGGTGTAGGAGGGGTTACCCTTAATGTTGTCTATCATAAACTGGACATCTACCCCCACCCCTCCCCCCACTCCTCTCTCTCTCTTCCGTTCTCTCCATCTCCCCCACCACCCTCTCTCTGCCCCCCCCCCCCCCATACCCGCTATGACCCTCTCCCTCTCTCCACCCCTCTCCCCCCCCACTCTCTCCCTCTCCCCACCCTCTCTCTCCCCTCTCTCTCGTTCTCCCCCCTCTTTCCCCCCCCCCCCCCGCTCCCCCTCCCTCTCCCTCTCATACCCCCGTCCCCCCCCCTCTCTCCCCATCCCCCCCCCCACACTCTTTCTCTCTCCCCTCTCTCTTTCCACCCCCCACTCTCTCTCCGCCTCTCTCCTCTCTCCACCCCCCTCCCCCCTCTCTCTCCCCCCAGGCACGGCTATGGTTACTGGGCCTGGGGTTCAGTCTGGCTTACGGCAGTATGTTCACCAAGATCTGGTGGGTTCACACCGTGTTCACCAAGAAAGAGGAGAAAAAAGAGAAACGAAAGGTGATTGATCCGTAGAGCCATTAACTCAACCATCGCCTCGCGAGCGAGAGGACCCCGGGCTCGATTCCCGGCCGGTCAGGTCAGGGGCGAAACCTTGGACAATTTACCTTAATTCCACCCAACACACACACACACACACACACACACAGAGACACCCCCCCCCACACACACACACGCCTCTGTTTACCCGGCAGTAAGTGGGAACCTGAATCGCTTTTCCCGGGAGTAATAATTCCATTCAAATCAATAAAAAATAATTGGGTCACTTCGGTCCGCGGCTGTGGTTTAATGTCTGGTCCGCACTGTGCCAACGTGTTCGTCAGCCTAGACTGTGAGCTCGAAGACCCCGACGTGGGGTCTCGAACTGACCCCAGACCCCAGGAGGCGAGCGAGCCGGGCTGTGACCCTGTGCCTCTCTCCTCCCAGCACCTGGATCCCTGGAAGCTCTACGCCACAGTCAGTCTCCTCCTGGGCATCGACGTGCTGACTCTGGCCATCTGGCAAATTGTGGACCCTCTACATCGTACCATCGAGGTGAGAGAACGCCCCCCACCCCACCATTAATCCCTCCAACTCACTCCCCCCACCGCTCCCCCACCTCGGCCTTCCCCACCGCCCCTCGGCAATGGCCCCAGCCCCAGTCCACACGCCGTCACAATAATAATAACTCGGTCACTTCAACCCACGGCTGTTTGTGGGCACGTCGCTGGGCACAGTTGGCAGCCGAGTTTCGCCCCCGAAACACACAGTCGCTACACTTTGCGGCGTGTCCTGCGAAGCGCTTTGGGACGCAAAGCTTATCATCATCATTAGTATTATTATTATTATTTCTCTCTCTCTCCAGGAGTTCACAAAGGAGGTCCCGGAAGGTGATCAGGACGTGTTGATATTACCCCAACTGGAGCATTGCAGCTCAAACAAGATGAACACCTGGCTCGGTATGTTCTCCTCCTCCCCACCCTGTCCCTCTCCCCCTCCACCCACCCCATCTCCCCCTCCCCCACACCCCTCCCTTCCCCCTCTCGATGAACAACTCCCGTCACTGAGTTGCGTTCTGCTGCATTCGTTACTCCCAACGCACGCGGAAGCCCATCACGGTCGCTTAAGAGTTTCCAGCCCGAGCTGAGGTTTCCCTGTATCACTCGCGACCACATCACTCCCACCCTCGCCCTCGCTCTCGCCCTCGCTCGCCCCCACTGGCTCCCCATCCCCCAGGGGATCGAATTCAAGATCCTCATCCTCACCTACAAGGCGATTCATGGCCTCGCTCCCTCCTACCTCTCCGACCTACTATCCCCCCACATACCCGCCCATACCCTCCGTTCCTCTGGCTCCGGTCTGCTCCGCATCCCCCGCCCCAACCGCCCGACCATCGGTGGCCTTCAGCCTCTCAGCCCCGAGGCTCTGGAACTCCATCCCCAGTGCCTTCGCCGCTTCCTCCCTTTCCTCCTCAAGGCCGGTCTCAAGATCTTTCTCTTCGACCATGTCTTCAGCTCCGCTCTCGACTCTCTACCCCCTCCTCGCACCCTCCATTCCTTCCCCTCACCCTGACCATTTTCCCCCAATGCTTGGGGCCCGACCCAACTGTCCAGCGCCTTGGGACCTCCTCCCGACGTGAAAGGCGCTCTATAAATGAAATCTTGTTGTTGTTGTTGTATCCCACCTACACCTGGAAATCCCAGAGATAGATTGCTGGAATGGAATGCCGACTGTCTCCCTCTCTCCCCCTCACCCTCTCCCATTCTCTCCCTCCCCCTCAACCCCCGTCACTCTCCCCCCCCCGCCCCCCACCCCAGGTATCGTGTACGGGTATAAGGGTTTGCTGCTGTTGCTGGGAATATTTCTGGCGTATGAAACCAAGAGCGTCTCCACCGAGAAGATAAATGATCACCGGGCGGTGGGAATGGCAATCTACAACGTCGCTGTGAGTGTGTTCTCTGCTGGTGTCTGACCCCTCACCTCACAGGAGTGTGTGTGTGTGTGTCTGTCTGTGTGTGTGTCTGTCTGTCTGTGTGTGTCTGCGTGTGTGTGTGTGTGTGTGTGTTTGTGTGTGTGTGTCATTCTGTGTGTGTGTGTGCGTAGTTTTGTAGCCGGTAGCAAACCCTTCGCAGTCCGGCGTCTTGGGACGTCCTCCCGACGTGAAAGGCGCTTTGTCAATGTCATTTGTTGTTGTTCTTGTTGTTGTTGACCAGTCTGAGCTGTCGCAGGGTTTGTCAGACAGTTGGTGGGTTTGTGAGTCTGATGATTAAAATGTAATTATTTCGCGACCCGTTTGTTTGTCGATTGTTGGATCCCTTTTCCGGGGGCAATAATCCCTTCACGCAAATTATTATTTTGTCCCTCGAATCCACAACCGTTTGTAGGGATGTCTTTCGGCGCAATCGGCCGCCGCATTTCGGCCCACAAAATGCGGAGCGGATTCACTTGAAGGCGCGTCCTGTGGAGCGGTGAAACACCTCAACGACGTGACAAGGCCTTTTATCAAATGCGAGAACTATTATTATTATTATTGTTGTTTGCCCGGTCGGAGACTGACAAGTGGGATCCGACTTACTGCCAGGTAATAATAATAATAATAATCCTTGCATTTGATAAAGCGCTTTTCACGTCGGGAGGACGTCCCAAAGCGCTTCACAGAACACACTGTAAAGTGAATTGACTGTATATTTGTGGGCGAACGCGGCGGCCAATTGAGCACAGCAATGTCCCACAAACAGTCGTAGATTGAAAATGACCAATTTATTATTGTTTTGTGGTTTTGGAGGGATTATTATTAGGCTCTGTGTGGAGTAAGGAAACTTGCCCGAGGTTTCGCCCTCTGCCTGGAATTGAACTCAGGTCTCTCGCTTGCAAAGCGAGTGCTCTAACCACTGAGCTACAGGACTCCCATCATGGCATCTCTCTCTCTCTCCCCCACCTCTCTCCCCCCCCACAGGTGCTGTGTATGATCACGGCCCCCGTCACGATGATTGTGACCAGCCAGCAGGACGCAGCATTCGCCTTTGCCTCCCTCGCTGTTGTCTTCTCGGTCTACATCACCCTGGTGGTCCTGTTTGCCCCCAAGGTAGGTGCCCACAGGCTGCTCTGTGTCACGCCAGTCTCCTGAGGGGGTTGCAGGGAGGGGGTGAGAAAGGGGGGGGGGGAAGGGTCATTAAACGACCACGATAGAACCCGGCAGGGGAACACTTCCTCTCTGTTGTGTTGAGGGATCGTTTATGATCTTGTAATCTCTCGTCCAGTCCTGCGATCGATCTCTTGTAATCATGGGATTTCCTGTGATCTCTTCTGATCTGTGATCGTCACTGCCGAGCACTCTGGAACCCCACCCGGTGTGAGGGGCGCTGTGCAAATGCAAGTTGTTGTTGATCTCTCCTGTCCACCTGTGATCTCCTGATCTCTCTATGATCTCCTGATCTCTCTATGATCTCTCTATGATCTCCTGATCTATGATCTCCTGATCTCTCTATGATCTCTCTATGATCTCCTGATCTCTCTATGATCTCCTGATCTCTCTATGATCTCCTGATCTCTCTATGATCTCCTGATCTCTCTATGATCTCCTGATCGCTCTATGATCTCTCTATGATCTCCTGATCTCTCTATGATCTCCTGATCTCTATATAATCTCCTGGTCTCTCTCTGATCTCCTGATCTCTCTATGATCTCCTGATCTCTCTATGATCTCCTGATCTCTCTATGATCTCTCTATGATCTCCTGATCTATGATCTCCTGATCTCTCTATGATCTCCTGATCTCTCTGTGATCTCCTGATCTCTCTATGATCTCCTGATCTCTATATAATCTCCTGGTCTCTCTCTGATCTCCTGATCTCTCTATGATCCCCCGATCCCTCTATGATCTTCTGATCTCTCTCTGATCTCCTGATCTCTCTATGATCTCCTGATCTCTCTCTCTGATCTCCTGATCTCTCGATGATCTCCTGATCTCTCTATGATTTCCCGCTGAGAACAGATCCGTCGGCTGGTCACTCGAGGCGAGTGGCAGTCGGAGCAGCAGGACACCATGAAAACTGGCTCCTCCACCAACAACAACGACGAGGAGAAATCCAGGCAACTAGAGAAGGAGAACCGTGAGCTGGAGAAGATCATAGCGGAGGTGTGTCTTCTCCCGGGATAGCCGTGGGCTGGTGGGGTGGGAGTGGGGGGAGAGGGCGGGAGGGATAACCAAACCCATGGCCAGAGCTGACCCAATCTCTTTCTCGCCCCCCACTTGCTCCCCCCTACCAGAAGGAAGAGAGAATCTCCGAGCTCCGGCAGCAGTTGAGCGAGAGGCAGCAGGTTCGAGCTCGCCGCAGACCGTCCCACCCTGCCAAGGACCCCTTCTCCTCGGACAACCACTTCACCAACTCCTCCTCGGGCCCCGTGCCCGCCCTCTACCAGCCACAACTGCCCCTCGTCAAGTGCCTGGTGTCGGGGGAGCAGGCGGGAGAGAGAGCAGGAGAGAGAACGGGCAGGAACAATTGCGATGGCAGCCGTGTTCATCTGCTGTACAAGTGATCAACTGTGGGCCAGACACGGTGAGAGGGGGAGGGAGGGAGGGAAGGGGTTTGGTGGCGGAGGGTGGTGGGGTCATGGAGTATTGACCCACCCTCTCTCCTTCACCGGTGAACCCCCGTAACTCCCTCCCCCCCCCAGCACCTCCCACCTCCTTCTGCCCCACTCCTCTTTATCCGTTCGTCCTTCCCTCGCTCCCCTCCCCACCATTATTGGATGGGCTTCTTGATTTCCCTTCACACACCCCCCCCCACCACCGCTGCCCTCTCTGTGAAGTGCTTTGAGACCCCCCCCACCCCCTTCCCCAGGTATAAAGCACAAAAATTGTCGAACACTCTCTTTAATGGGGCAAAGGCAGTCGAGGTCCAGATCAGCCAAGTTCTTATAGAATAGCAGAACAGGCTCGAGGGGCTGAATGGCCTCCTCCTGTGTCTATGTCCCCTCCCCCTCCCCGAACGTTTTGCCGCAAAAGGAAATTGACGGGAGGGCTAAAGGCTGCCGGTAACGGGTCGGTGAGCTTGAGGGATGAGCTCACACGGGGCAGGTTAGTGAACCGTTTAGTGACGAGAACGAGGCACCCGATCGTCTAATAACCCACAATGTCGAGACGCAAAGTGGCTTTGACTTGTCCCCGTGGCCCTCGCTGTACAGTGTCACGTTCGTAGTGGACTGAACCAGTCTCTCTCTCTCTCTCTCTCACACGCACCCCCTCTCCACCGTGTTGAAAATGAACCCTTCCCGTTGTAGGTTAGGCAAGCGGCTGCTGGGTTTTGAGGCAATGCATGGGGTCCACGTCCACTCTGTCCCTCGTCACTCGACCGTTGTATGATTTGTAATAAAATGTTTCTGTAACGCTGACTTTCACGGGCGACTCCACTTATTTTTTCCCCGTTTCCGCCAAGGCTCGAGACGACGACAAGTTGCATTTCCACGGCGGGGGAAGTGTCCCGGAGCGCTTGACAGTGGCGGAGCCTGACACCGAGCCAGGGGAGGAAGGGAGGGAGGGAGGGAGGGAGGGAGGGAGGCGGAGGGTTCGAGGGAGAGAGAGAGCGACAGAGTTTCAGGGCGTGGTGGCTGGAGGCACGACCACCGATGGTGGAGTGGGAGAGGGGACGAGGGACGAACATGCGTCCAATTCCCTTTTGAGAGCTGTTATCGAATCTGCTCCACCACCGTCAGGCAGTACGTTCCCGAGCGTACATCTCCCCGAGTAAAAAAACACGTCTCCTCGTCTCCGCTCTGGATCTTTTGCCCAATTATCTTGAATCAGTGTCCTCTGGTTACCAGCCCACACACCCGCCAGAAGAAAGTTTCTCCCTATTTACTCTATCAAAACCCCACTAACCTTTGGGTGAAAAACTGCCTCCAGATTTCACCCCTCAATGGCCTGGCTCTGATTTTAAGATGATGCCCCTTGTTCTGGATTCCACCCCCTCACCACCCCACCAGAGGGAATAGTTTCTCTGTAGCTGCCCCATCGGGATCTTTATTATTTTAAACACATTAATCTTCTAAACTCAAGTGAAACGAAATGCAATTCAGTGGAGTTTTGGCCTCTGGTTGTGAGACTTCAAGAGCAGCTTTGACCCAATGACCGTTCGCTCACTCGCTTGCGAGTCGTGAAGTCTCTCGCTGGGTTTATTCGCATTCTTTATATAGTTTTTATTTGTACACAGAACTATATACAATTTAAATTATTAGTTCAGCCATTACAGTCAGTGCGCACAGAGAATACACGACGCATCTTATAATAATAATAATAATAATCATCCTTGCACTTGGTACAGCGCCTTATCACGTCTGCGAGACGTCGCCGAGCGCTTCACAGGATACACTGTAAAGTGGAGTGAGTTTTGTGAAACGCGGCAGTCAATTGCACACAGCAGTGTCCCTCAAACAGTGATGGATTGAGTGACACAGACACACAGACGCACACACACTCAGCGCCAGCCCTGACTGCCCAAGCTCCAGCAACAAAGCAACCTCCAGCCCCCCACCAACCACTGAAGTGTTGCCTGGCTCTGATACTGGGAGATGGCGGGGGAGTGCGAGTGGGGTTGGGGGACGGGGGAGAAAGAGGAGCGGAGGGAAACAGAGAGAGCTTACAAAACACTCCTGGTGACTGCCAGGCCACAAAGACAGAGGGAAGAACCGCAGAACTTGACATATAATAATTACAATACTTACATTTGTACCGCGTGCTATAAGGTCAAACATATCCACAGGGATTTACTTACTTACTTACTTACTTACTGGCTGGGAAGCGAGTGTGTATTTGTGGGCAGCCAAACAATCAACAAAACAATCTGCCCAGAGCAAGATCTCGCAGACAGCCACGAGACAGAGGGACCATCAGACTGGAGGATACTGAGGGGCGGGGGGGCGCGGAGAGGGGGAGTCTGGAGGATACGCAGGGGGTGTTGGAGGCATCTGGAGGACACTGGGGGAGGCGGAGGGGGAGTCTGGAGGATACGGAGGGGGTGTGGGGGGCATCTGAAGGACACTGGGGGAGGGAGGGGGAGTCTGGAGGATACGGAGGGGGTGTGGAGGGCATCTGGAGGATGATGAGAGGGGGTCGCGGGTGGGGGAGCCTGGAGGATGCTTGGGGGTGAGGGGAAGGGGAAACTCCACGGAATAGAGAAGGGGCTGTTTAACAGCCACCAATACCCAGCGATCTCTTGGGACGCCTTCAGTGACACCGAGAAGTCTTTTAGCAGAAAAGAGAAAGAGATATTTTATACCCAGATGTTGGTTCTCTCTGTTGTTGACGGTGTCTGTGTGACTGGTGTGTAAGTCAGTGATAGCCACCGGTCTGTCTCTCCCCCAGCACCTCTCCTCTCCTCTCCTCTCCTCGCTCGCTCGCTCTCTCACTAACGTTATGTTGATGGCTAAGGCCGGACTCCCTCAGTGTCACTGCCAAATCTTGCCGGTCAGCTGAGCGAGTAGGAGGTTCAGGGCAGGTCGATGCTCTTCCAAACCCAAAGCAACCAGGGCTCCCACGAGCAGCCGCTTCACCTTAGTGACAGGGGGACGGGCTGACATCATCTGCCAGGGAGATATGGGGTGGGGGGAGTGGGGAGAACACCAGTCAATCTCTCTGACGTTCAGAACAACAACAACTTGCATTTACCCAGCGCCCTCCAGTGTCCCAGAGCGCTTATAATAATAATCATCCTTACATTTGCTGCAGCACCATATCGCGCCTCGAAGTGTTTTACAGGATACACTGTAAAGTGTAGTGACTGCGTATACTGTTGGTGAAACGCGGCAGCTAATTGCGCACAGCAGCGTTCCCACAAACAGTCGCGGATAGGGGGGGACCAATTTATTATTATTATTATTTTGGATGGATTATTACCTCTGTCCACGCAATGCTCCCCCAGTAATGGGTGCGGGGATGGGGAGGGAGACTGTTCAGTGAGAGACACTCCCATGTCGCACGTGAGACAAAATCCCCCCCCACCCCTCCCCACCACATTCTCCCCCCTCCGCCCAGGGTCCAACGTGATTCACATTCCAGCCTCTCTCTCCCTCCTCCCCTCCCCCCTCCATCAATCACTCACCTTATCCAACTTGTGCCTGCAAATCAGTCCATCAGAGCCCAGGTGGAAAGTGGAAAAGGCGTCATAGAATCTGCAAGGAAAACCAGGAACATTTAATAATAATAATGATAATCCTTGCATTTGATGTAGTTCCTTTCAAAGCGCTTCACAGTGAAGTGAATTGTGTATTTTGGGGGCGGAAACAGCATTTATTATACTCTTCCCACTCGATAGTCTCCTCTCCCCACACACCCCTCCCATCCCTTTACAAAGAATCCCACATCACATGATTATTGATGTACATAATATTCCTTGTATTTGAGACAACCCCTCACCACGTCGTCGAAACATCTCAAAGCGCCCCACGGAATATCGGAACAGGAGGAGGCCAATCAGCGCCTCGAGCTACTACACTATGGCTGATCTGTACTTCCACTCCAATATACTGTAAAGTTAATTGACTGTGTATTGTGTGGGCGAAACGTGGCATCAATTGTGCACAGCAGTGTCCCCACAAACAGTCGTGGACTGAGCGACCAAATTTTTTGAGGGGAAACTTTTACCCTCAGAAAAGCGATCTGCCAAACGGCTAACTAACAAGCGGGCTCCTACTTACTGCTCGGTGAACAGAGGCACGCGTGTGGAGTAAGGAAACGTGCCGAGGGTTTCTCCCGGCTTGGGAATCAAGCTCAGGGCCTCTCGCTTGCGAGGCGAGCACTCTAACCACTGAGCTCCAGGGACTGCACTACGGAGCGGGTGAAATAAGGCAGCGTATAGCAATGCCCAACCCCCTCCCCACACACACTCACGCCCCCCCCCACTCCCCACACACACTCACCTGTAAAGCTCTGTCTTGTCTCTCTTGTAAAACCTGAGCATTAGTACGTGCAGAGGCAGACCTGTGACCCGCCAGCGAACCTGAACACTCCAGGTCTCCGCGTCCCGACTCATGTTCAACACCTCCAGCTGAACATCGGCAAAGTAGTTCAGGGACAGGAACTTCATCAAAGTCAGCAGCACCTTGTATATAGTGCGGCCTCTGAGAGAGAGAGACACAGAGAGACAGAGAGAGAGAGAGAGGGGGGGGGGGAGGCAGTGTCAGAGAACGTGGGACTGAGTGTAACATACCACACAATGACTAGACACACACACACACAGACTAGACACACACACACTGACTAGACACACAGACACCAACAACAACTTGCATTTATACAGCGCTCCTCCAGCAGGGTAGCGTCCCAGAGAGCTGGACACATAGACACAGACACCACACACAGACCGCAGACATGAACAGACACACAGCGACTTAATGCAGAGGGTCTGTCACACCACATCACACCCCTGGCCCACAGTACTGCACGAGCTTTCTCACCACACACACTTACACACACACACACACACTTACACACACACACACAACAGATTTGCTTGGTCGCTTGTAGTGGGGGGGCGGGGAGGGAGAGGGGAGATACAGACCGGGTTTTGATGCGAGGGAATTCGCTGATAAACTCCAGGTCCGGTGAATACATCCCATAGTCGTGAGGCCTCAGGAAGAACTTTGGCAGCTGTGATACAGAGCAAAACATAGCACAAGACAAGTCAGCCCTAAGGTCCCATCCAGTACCTCATAATAACAACCACAATAATACTCCCTGTACTTCATACAGTATCTCATAACAATAATAATAATTGTAACCCCTACATTTCACACAGCGCCTTATCACGTCTTTCAGACATTTCACAGCACTTCACACAATACACTGTAAATGTAGTGACTGTATATTTGGTGGGCGAAACGTGGCCAACGTTTCTCTCTCACGCTCCGACTCTCTCACACACACACGTGACTGAGCGGTGAGAGAGAGCAAGTGAGCGGGCTCACCTGGTCCCGCAGCCTGAGGTACATGAGTGACAGGTGTTCCTCCATGTCGGGATCTCCCCTGTCTGAGGCTGATCTCTCCAGGTTCTCGGTCCCAGCGAAGGCCAGCAGCCCGTGGGGGAGTAGCGGGTACGGCGTCCGACACCACTCGCTCTCAAACAGAGTCCTGAAAGAGTCCAGGTGACCCCCGCTCATGTCCCACCCGCTCTCCGCCCCCTGGTCCCTGGGGGCCGGCTCGGGGGACCCCGGCTCCCGCCGCTCCACCGCGATGTCGTCCTGGCTGCGTCCGTCCACTGTGGTGATGGAATCCAAGATGTCCTCCAGGCGGGACAGGAAACGGGAGTCGTCTGAGAGGTGGCCACCACTCTCCCGGGCCTGCAGTGCCGCCATCTTGTCCAGGTTGCCAAGCCCAGGGTAGGGCAGCTCCAGCAGAGCAGACTGCCCACTCCCCAGCCCGCTCACCACCAGCTGGAGGCAGATCTTATCCTCTGGGAGGCAGACGAGGGACTGGATCCGCACCTCCCCAGGCTGGGTGCGAGGGGCGTGACAGGAACTGTACAGGGAAAGGTGAGCGAGGTCCTGGCTCGGGGCTGGGCAGTTCTCCGCCCCCAGCTGCCCCGTGGACTGACCCCACGTGTAAACAGGTGGATGCATGGACCAGGGCAAGCTGCTGATCTGCCGGGGGAAGCCATCCTCACTGTGGCTCAGTCTCTGAAGGAGCAACAGAAGAAGAAACGTGAAGATCGACTCAGAATCAGAATAATCCTTGCGTGTGATACAGCGCCTTATCACGTCTTCGAGATGTCTCAAAGCGCTTGGCAGCAAAATTAATTGACCGTATTGACCGGGTGAAATGTGGCAGCCAATTGCGCACAGCGGCATCCCACAAGCAGTCGTGGATTTAGTGACCGATTGTGTCTTGAAGGGATTATTACCCCTGGTAAGCAATCCGCCAATCGACTAACTACCGAGTTCCTATTTACTGCTGGGTAAACAGAGGTGTGCGTGTGTGTGTGTGTGAGGTTTCGCCCTGACCCGCCCAGGGATCGGTCCTGGGTCCTCTCGCTTGCAAGGCGAGCGCTCTAACCACTGAGCTACAGGACTCTTCCCGACTTACTTCAGCCACAAGCAGTTAGACAGTCGAAATGTTCTGCTCGTTTAAGAGATCTCTGTTTGTAACGTTTAAAATGCTGAGGGGGCACGGCTGAGGGAACTGGCTGGGAAGGGTTACTGCCGGAGAGGAATGAATGTCACGAGAGAATGGTTAGCATTAGGCGGCAGCAGAGCCGCCAGTTTAGCCAGTGCCAGGCAGAGTACCCACACCACCCTGTGCGTATTACAGTGTCTGTTAAACAGTGTCCCGGCTTACCCACCCTCGCTCGCATCCAGTTCTCAGCAGTCAATTTAAGGCCTTTGAGACGAACTCCCAAAGCGAACAGCACCATATTATCCTGTGTGAAACACACACTGCTTCCTGGTGTCTGTCGCCAAATGACCTTTCAAACACTGCTTTGAACGGAAATTAAATTAGCCTCTGAGTCTCTTCCTCCTCCTCCTAACTATCGCCAGTGCTGTGCGCCAGCCAGCCAAGGGCAGAGCAAGGTGCTTGCCAGAACAGGAGGCCTCGGTACCCTACACGCTAATGAGCACAGCCGAACCCCAGGGTGGTCGGTAAAGATCTTGTCACGCGGTTGGAAAGCAGAGGGGAGTTTCTCCTGGAGCCCCTCCGTCTCCTCCAGATTAAATTGATCAATTAATGCCTCCACTGTCCTGACTCTCTGAGCAGACGCTGGGAATTAAGAGAGAGCACTAAATTATTTCACAGAGAAGCTCTTTATTCTTCAATCCGTCACACGCTGCGCAGCGCAAACCCTCCCCGTACCTCAACCATTTAATTAATTCACTGTAAACCCGTTCACTGCCTCTAACGGCGTTTATAATAGTAATCCTGGCATTTGATATGGCGCCTGATCACGTCTTCGAGACGTCTCAAAGCGCTTCACAGGATATACGGTGAAGTGAACGAACTGTATATTTTGTTGGCGAATCGTGGCAGCCAATTGTGCACAGCAGCCAACGTCCCACAAATAGCCGCGTGCGCTTGTGTGTGGGGGAAGGAAAGTTGCCGAAGGTTTCGCCCCTTATTTACTGAATTGGGAGTTGAGGTACAGATCCGCCGTAGAGTGGTGGAACCGGCTCGAGGGGCCAAATGGCCTCCTCCTCCGTGCCGGCCGGGAATCGAGCCGGGGTCCTCCCACCCGCGGGGCGAGGGTGCTCACCGCTGGCCGGACCGGGGACCCCGCAAAGTGGGCAAACCCTGAAGCACGACGAAGGCTTCCCCCGCGCCCGTCAGGACCAGCAAACACAGACAGCTCTCACCTGGACGGTCACCGGTCTTTGGGACCGATACGGTCTGTTGGCCGGACGGCGGCAGGAAGGGACCCAGGTCCCCAGGGAGCAGTGGCGCCTTCGACTCAACCCGGCCACGTTCAGTCCCTTCACTGCGCACTGCCGGCAGCTCAGTGCCCCCGCCATGCAAGTGCGCCCCCTAACCTACCTCAATCCCCCCTCCCACCTCCCCCCTCCCCACCCCCCGCCCCCTCCCCTCCACCACGCTCGCACGGATCACACGGGTCACTGCGGCCCTCCGACGCTCGTCACTGATCCCCAGGACCCGGCAATCACTGAACGCAGAGGTCACTACACCCCTCAAACCGTCACCGAACCCCCAAACCCCCACCGGTAACTGATTACAGAGGTCACCACACCCTGTGAGTCCAGTCGCTCTGCCGCTTAAACCCCTCTCACTGACCCCCTCAAACCCCTCTCACTGACCCCCTCAAACCCCTCTCACTGACCCCCTCAAACACTGATCACTGACCCCCTCAAACACTGATCACTGACCCCTCAAACCCCTCTCACTGACCCCCTCAAACCGCTCTCACTGACCCCCTCAAACACTGATCACTGACCCCTCAAACCCCTCTCACTGACCCCCTCAAACCCCTCTCACTGACCCCCTCAAACACTGATCACTGACCCCCTCAAACACTGATCACTGACCCCCTCAAACCCCTCTCACTGACCCCCTCAAACCCCTCTCACTGACCCCTCAAACACTGATCACTGACCCCCTCAAACCCCTCTCACTGACCCCCTCAAACCCCTCTCACTGACCCCCCCCCCCCCCCCCCCCCCTCAAACCCCTCCACTGACCCCCTCAAACCCCTCTCACTGACCCCCTCAAACCCCTCTCACTGACCCCCTCAAACACTGATCACTGACCCCCTCAAACCCCTCTCACTGACCCCCTCAAACCCCTCTCACTGACCCCCTCAAACCGCTCTCACTGACCCCCTCAAACCCCTCTCACTGACCCCCTCAAACCCCTCTCACTGACCCCCTCAAACCCCTCTCACTGACCCCCTCAAACCCCTCTCACTGACCCCCTCAAACACTGATCACTGACCCCCCTCAAACCCCTCTCTCACTGACCCCCTCAAACCCCGGTCACTGACCCCCGGAGTCTCGGGGCTGCGCGAGGCCGAGGCCCTGAGACCTTCCCCCCCAACCGCCGCCGCTCGCGCCGCCCGGCAGAGCCTTCCAGAAGCCGCGGGTGCCGCCGCCCCGCCCACTCCGCGCGCCATTGGTTCGCTCGCTCGCCCGTCAAGCCGACACGGCTGCTGATTGGTCGACGGGCCGAACGGACGTCGGACGTCCCGCCTCAGGAAGTCCCGCCCTCCCCGCCCCATTACTCACCAATGGCTCCCGTCCATCAGGGCTCAGCCCCGCCCCCTGTGCCGATAGACGTCCAGGCCGGCGTCATCGCTGTACCGCTCCCCATTGGTTCCCTCGCCCGTCCATCAAGCGGCGCCCGGTTGATCAAAGACCCGCCCCCTCTGTGCCCCCTCCCCCAGAGCACAGGGGGAGGGGGCGGGAGGGGCACAGAGCACAGGGGGAGGGGGCACAGAGCACAGGGGGAGGGGGCGGGAGGGGCACAGAGCACAGGGGAGGGGCACAGAGCACAGGGGGGGGAGGGCACAGAGCACAGGGGGGAGGGCACAGAGCACAGGGGGAGGGGGCGGGAGGGCCATAGAGCACGGGGGGGGGGGGGGGGGGGGGGGGGGCGAGAGAGGCACAGTGCACAAGGAGAGGGGGCGGGAGGGGCACAGAGCAGAAGGGAGGGGCGGGAGGGGCACAGAGCACAGGGGGAGGGGGCGGGAGGGGCACAGAGCACAGGGGGGGAGGGCACAGAGCACAGGGGGAGGGGGCGGGAGGGGCACAGAGCACAGGGGGGAGGGCACAGAGCACAGGGGGAGAGGGCACAGAGCACAGGGGGAGGGGGCGGGAGGGGACATAGAGCACAGGGGGAGGGGGCGGGAGGGGCACAGAGCAGAAGGGGAGGGGGCGGGAGGGGCACAGAGCACAGGGGGAGGGGGCGGGAGGGCAATAATATGCTTTATATATCAAACAGATACAAAGACTCAATAGAACAGAAACATTGTGGGATACAATATCGATACAACAGTAACATTGTGGGATACAATATCGATACAACAGTAACATTGTGGGATACAATATCGATACAACAGATACAAGTCGTCGAGAAGTCGTGAAAAACGTTATATCCAATGCAAAGATTATTATTATTATTATTATTATTATTATTATTATTATCAGATCAGCCGTCACTCAACCTTCTCAACTCGAGGGACCGGAGACCCGGTTTGCACAGCCTGGCCTCGGAGTGTAACCCTTTATACTCCGGTGTCACCCACAAGGTACACGGAATCACATCACTTTACGGTGTGTCTTGCGAAGGGCTTTTGAGACGCGAAATAAAAGGTATTCCACCAAATGCCGTTATTGCCAATAATTAATCCAACTGTTGCAATAGTTGCCTCCGGCGGCTACAATATGGACCGCAGGATCGATGCTTTTCCCTTGTCACGCACATTCCCGGGTTCCCATAGGATAATGTAACAATAATAATAATCCGGCATTTGAACCCAGCGCCTTATCATGTCATTGGGACATCTCAAAGTGCTTCACAGGACTCACTGTGAAGTGTAGTGACTGTACATTCTGTGGGCCAAACGCGGCAGCCAATTGCGCCCAGCGACGTCCCCACAAACATGGAGGGACCTCATTGGCAATGATGGAGGATCCCTTTACACCAACCACATGTGTTTATACTCAGATGATGTTTATAATGAAGCCCAGGATTCCCAGCCCAACGTTCGGTACCAGATCCCTGGGATTACCCCTGTCCCAGATTCCAGGGAGTCCCTGTAGCTCAGCGGTTAGTGCCCGCGCCTCACAAGCGAGAGCAGCCGGGTTCGATTCCCGGGCGGGTTAGGACAGGGCGAAAATTTCGGCAAGTTTCCTTATTCCACACGTACACCCACAAACACATACCCACACACACACACCCACAAACACCCACAAACACACACACATACCCACACACACACCCGCAAACACACACCCACACACACACACACAAACACAGACCCACACACCCACGCACACCCACACACACACACCTCTGTTCACCAGGCAGTAAGTGGGTAACCTCTTGTTAGTCGATCGATGGGCGGATGGCTTTTCCGGGGTTAATAATAATCCCCCACAAAAAACGTGGTCACTTCAATCCACGACAGTTTGTGGGACGTTGCTTTGCTCAATCAGTTGCCGCCTTTCACCCGCTCCAATACACAGACACTACGCTTTACAGCATAGCCTGCGAAGCGCTTTGAGATGGCTCGAAGACGCGATAAGGCGCTGTATCAAGTGCAAGGATTATTATTATTATATTATTATAAGAACACAGTGACGGTATAAGTTATTTCTGATCCCTGGACACAGAGACGTCTCAACGAGGAAATAGAAGATATGTTTCCAAACATGCAAAACATTTTGCTCGCAGTCAGAGGAGGAAACATTGGGAGCTGAGCTCTCTGAGCAGCAACCAGGAACTCACAGACCTTTTATGGCCAAACACAGCAGCCATTTTGTGAAAAACAAGATTCCACAAACAGCCATGTAATGAACAAGCGATTTTATCCGGCAGGACACCGGGAGAGAGAGAGAAACTCCCTTCTGTTTTCCCATAGCCTCCCGGATCCTTCATCTTCACCTGAACAGGCACCAACGGTTGAACAGCTTCTCATTGGAAGTTTCTGCCTCTAACAATGTGACCGGGTCTCCTCTGAGTTGACGTGGCCCCAGGGTGACAGGTCTGGCAATGGAGTGTGGGAATCCAGCCAGGCCTCTGGGACCGTCTCTAGTCCGGTTCCTGAGCCAGGTGGGTCCTCAGTATTCCAGGTCACTCACTGCTGATAACAGCACAGCCCGGCCTGGATCATCAACAGGACCTGGAAGGGCCGACCAGTCATTGGGGGCAGGGAATCCTCCCCCTCGGCTCCTGTAAACCCTGCAGTCAAAGCCCTATCTAACGGGGAGGGTGATCCTAAGCTGGACAAGCAGCGGGAAAGCTTGGCCAGACAGCGATCACAATGGCCAAGCTCTGTGTCGCTGGGATGCTTGGAAATGTCAGCTTGGTTTGGAGAGTCTTGAGCACGGTGATGGGTTTCAGCGTGTGTCAGACACCCGGCTGAGCAAGATAAACAATTCAGGGCGTGGGTTCCAGACTCTAACAACTCTCTGGGTAAAAANTAATATCTCCTCGTCTGGTCTCCCCTCTGGTTCTTTAGCCAATCCCCTACACCCACCCATCCCCTCTACGGACCCATCCCCTACACCCACCCATCCCCTACAGCCACCCATCTCCTACACCCACCCATCCCCTACCCACACCCATCCCCTACACACACCCATCCTCTATGCCCACCCATCCCCTACCCCACACCCATCCCCTACACACACCCATCCCCTATACGGACCCATCCCCTACACCCCACCCATCCCCTACACCCGCCCATTCCCTAATTTACATTAACCCACAGTGAGAGTCACAGACAAAGGCTCTCAGTCCCACTCTCGGAAGCTAACGGTGGTGATTTGCCTACAAGTAAATAAGTTAGTCTGTTTATAGATCGAGAGCCGCACTGGAGCAGCCACACTGTCCTGGGCACGGCGGAGAGTGAGGACCTCTGGAAGGTGAGTGTGTGGGTCATTACCCCTCCATTCCCTCCCTCACTCTCATCCCCCCAACACACTCACCCCCCNACCTCTCCCCCTCCCGCCCCATGTCAGGGCTGATGATGTGACACTGTGCTGGTGGGAGAGGGGAGGAATATTGTTTGTTAACTCTCATAATGAAACGTCTCGTGTTTCCTGGTGAGTGAGGGTTTTACAGTGAAGCGTAGTGACTGTTTTCTTGGGAAAGGCGGCTGTTGATTCGATCCGTGATGTGAATAACCAAATGTAGTGACTGTTTTGTGGGCAAAGGCGGCGGTTGGTTTGATCAGTGATACGAATG